TGAGCTGCCAGGCCCAGAGGTGCCGGGGCTATGAGCTGCCAGGCCCAGAGGTGCCGGGGCTGAGGCCTGGCAAGACCTAGCACAAATTAAGCACTGTTTGGGGGTCTCCAAGCCAAGGACTGAGCAGAACCGACCCTGCCAACCGGCTCACAGCACATGTCTGCGAGTCGTGTGTTTCACCATAAACAAATAAATACCCCCCTCAAGTGGTGGCTCAGTGGTATTTACATCTTTGCATCTGGAAGGAAACCATTGAGATCAGTGAAAGTGGGGTCATCTCTGAAACAGTAACACAGAGGTGGTTGGAGTGCTAGTCGTTGGGAACGGGTCTGCTTTATGGGTAGGGGTGACCTGGGTGTTAATGTTGAGGCTGATGTCAGAATTGTTGAGGTACCTTTAGCTGGTGATTTCCTTAGCTTAGTTTGAGGTGGGGATTGTTCTGTGGGTGACTTCAGTTACCCCTCTTCTCTTAAATTGTGCTTAGCAACTGTAACCATCAACCAACCAGATCCTTTGTTTCTGGATAATATCATGAGCTACGTAGCTCTGTGGTATCAGAACAGACCTGGATCTAACCCATGCTGGCCCTATGTTGCAAACATGCTATCCACCAGTGAGGCCTGGGACTCTCCTGAGCGGATTCTGGGCAGATTAGATGCCTCCATCAGCTCTGCCCCCCTCTTTCCAGCTCAAGCTGAGGATGAGAGAGTTTAGCCATAACATGAGAATTTGCACCTTATTTCCCAAGACACACCAATCCACCCCCCCACACACACGCACACCCTCAGCCATATAAGGCAACCTTGTCAGCTACACACTTAGGTCTATAGCCATGAATACACAGCAGAGGCTGTGTGGAGATGACGCCACTAAAAGGCCCCAAGGGACCAAAATATAAATACCTCACTGTTTGCCTGGCAACCATCGCCACAGGGACCGTTTGCAGCAGAAAGAGTTGCATTTAGGGTTATATCCCAGCTCAGAGTTCTTCCAGTGTTTTGTGTTACCATGGAAACAGTCCCAAAGCCAGGACGAGGCATTGGGCCCCTTGCTGGGAGAGGAAGAGCCCGCCCCTGTAAATAAATGGATTGATAGAAGTAGGAAAGGCCTGAAGGGGAGTCAGCATGAACCAGAACACCATTCAAACTGGCATTCCCCAGCGCCTCCGGGCCAATCCCAGCTCCCCCACTGACTCACTGGGTGGCCTGGGGCATGAGTCTCAGTTCCTCTTCTGTAAAATGGGGATAAATGAGGCTTTGCCCATGGTGGTCGCGAAGCAACATGTATTCCCTGCTGTTTGTAAATGGCTCAGAAGAGGTGCTGTGCTGGCTAAGCACTAGGAATGATCACCATTCAAATGGAGGGAAGGAGGGCTTTGAACCTGAGGCAAAAAGTACAGCAGTGGCTAGAAATGCGGCCCTGTGATCATCTTGCTTTGCCAGCTTTCCCCACACCCATCATATTGAATGTGCTCTGTTTACAGTACAGTTATCTCCATGGGACAGATGGGGAGGCTGAGGTACAAAGTGACTTACCCAAGTCACCCAGCACAAGAGCTGGGAATAGAACCCACAGCTGCTGTGTCCCTATTCAGCCCGCTATCTCCTGGACCACACAGCCCCTCTGGCCAAGCCTGGCCTGGCCGCCAGGCCAGACGCTCAGCCCCGTCTCTGGAGCCGCAGCGATTGCTATTAACTCTGCCAGTTTTCAGCACCAGCAATTGAGACTGTGGAGTCAGGACTGTGCTGGGGATTCGCTGATGCAGCAGACAGCGGAGACCAGAGACGCCCTTGTGCAGTCAGCCTGGCTCTGCAGTGCTGACGGCTTTCAGTGGTGGTTGGTTCAGCTGGGCCGGGGCGAGCTGGAAGACAAGCTGGAGAACACAGCGCAGCACCGGGGTTGCTGAGGCCCTGAAAAAAGATGGGCAAGGAATCCTCTGAATCCAAAGCAGAGGCCCCCGGGATTGTTATTTGGTGGCAATGAGACAGTGGCATCAAGATGGTCTGGAACAATATGATGCCTTGATGGGCTGGGCAGCCCTCCCAGATGCCTCTGCCTGCTTTAGCACAACCCCTGCCCCTAGCCCCTGTCAGAGCTTCGCTGACAAGCTTTGGAATCTGCAGGAGTTACTTCCCCGTTGCTGGGAAATCGGGTTGTTGAAACCAATAAGAGCATTAACAAGGGAAATGCTCACCCCTCCCCCAGGCTCTCGGCGGGCTAATTATGCCAGTCTTAATAACAGCCTTTTGTCACCAAGGCTGCCTGCAAGTCTGCCCCAAAACACAAGGCAGTCGGAGCACCGTCCGCAAAGTCCTCTGGCTTGGGGGAGGGGGGCAGCAGTCCCGAGGAAGGGGGCTGATGAGGAGGTTTGGGCCCAGGAGAGTGGAAGCACCATGTTCGTTACAGTGAGATATGGAGGTAAGTGGAGGAAGCTCAGACTTTGCCCTCTGGACCCAGCTTCTCCGAATCAGCTGGTTTCTCTGATCGTGAAACCTGACAGCATACTTTGTGTTCCTCTTCTTGCCACCGTTCAGTGATCCTATCCGTTTACCTTAAGTCAGTGGCCTGGGCAGGTGTATTTGGGGAGACAGTGTTGTCTAGTGGCTAGGGAACAGTGCAGGGAGTCAGGAGACCACTGACTCACTGTGTGAGTGCTCTGTGACTCAGTTTCCCCATCTGTAAAACCAGTATTTCACCTCCTTTGTAAAGAGCTTTGAGATTGAGGGATTAAAAAAACTTAAATCAGAGCTAAGCATTATCTGGTATTATTTGCAGACAGACCTCAGACTTTACTCCATCTTTCTAAGGGAGGATGGTCACTGCAGACTTTTACTGTTCTGGGGTTTCAGGGCCATACAGCATAATGAAACAATTTGAGAAAAGACACCAGATGAAAACCAAGTTCCCGTGTTTTCCAGCTGCCCCTGCTCCTCAGAGGGGTCTGTGCTTCTCTGAAGTGCAGCTCCTGCATCCTCAGCGAAGTGACTGTGTAGAAATGGCATCTCTGCTCCCTGTGTGTCTGCAGAGTCATCTCTGATCACATCAGTGACTATAGCTTTTCTATTCATTCGTACTCCATGTCCCCTTCCTGCCAAGTCTCACCTGCCTGCTGGGCGACGCTGGCAGCTTTGGGCCCCTGGCAAAACAGGGGCTGGGGGCAGCTTGTATCATTGCAGCCCAACTCCCAGCTCACTTGCTCCAAGTGGACTTGCTGTGACCCCGGGCCCACGGCCTGGGCACCAGCAGCAGAGTGAAGGTAGCCCACTGACTGAAGGGCTGTTTAGCTGCAGAAACGGCTCCCCTGAGAAAATGATAGTTTGTTATATTAATATGGAGATACACCTATCTCACAGAACTGGAAGGGACCCCGAAAGGTCATCGAGTCCAGCCCCCTGATTTGCTTTGTAGAATGTAACCTTTTGAGCACTCTTAAAATGAAGGATTGACAGCTCAGGCAAGGCCCAGCAATAGCATTAGCGGGCACCGTGCAGGCCTTACCCAAACTCCGCTAATGGCCCTCAATCGCAACCCTACAAACTCTGCTATTCAAGCTTTGAGCCCTCCAACATCTCTTCGAAAACACTGCAGTCCTGACCTGCAGCTCCCCCTGCTAGCCTACCTCTGGACCCCTGCCCCCAGTCTGTTGCTGCACGTCCGTACTGACCTGCATCACCCCTTGCTGTTCATGTCCCGGGCCTCTCCAATCTCGCTGAATTAGCAAGTTTTTTAGGCAAATATCCACTGGTGACTAAGCTGAGACTCCCAAACTCAAGGCACGTGTGACATTCGCGGGTTTGCAGAGGGGAAAGCGAAGAGCCCGATCACACCCTAAGTTTCCTATTTCTTCTATTTTATGAGACCAAGTTTAAAAGAACAACCTGAACCCACAGGCATCTTATGAAGCAGTGAGACGTATTCCTAAACCACCAGAATACTCTGGGTGCCTCCTGGTCCGGTTTGATTGTGGTTCTAAGGACCAGGGAAGGAGAAGCACAGGTCTGCAGCACCCCAGGTCTGGCTGTGACACATCCCCTTCTGCAGTAAAACTGCCCCTCCCTTTTCTGTCTGCCACATTCGCTGACATGAGCAGATAATGTCTGTCTCTTCCAGGGGCAGCTCTATGTTTTTTGCCGCCCCAAGCACGGCAGGCAGGTGGCTTTCGGCCTGCGGGAGGTCCGCTGGTAACGCGGATTCGGCAGCATGCCTGCAGGAGGTTCACCGGTCCCACGGCTAGCCGCCGCCGAATTGCTGCCAAAGCCACAGGACTGGCGGACTTCCTGCAGACATTCCGCCAAACTGCTGCCCTCACGGCAACCGGCAGGCCGCCCCAGGCACGTGCTTGGTGTGCTGGTGCCGCCCCTGGTCTCTTCACTGGTTCAGCTCATTGGGTTGTGCAGCCCTTAAACTTGGGGAAAATCTCTGTCTCCTCCTGTGCTAATTCCCTTTCTCTGCTTCACAGCTGACTGCCAAGAGATTGTGAACGTGCACTGCCGGGTCCTGAGCCTCACCGCGCATCTGAAGAAGAAATGCCAGTGCAGGCCAGAAGGTACTGTCTCTCTATCCCCCTCTTAACGGGAGTGAAGGCCACCTGCCTGATGGACAGACACAGATGCTCTTAGAGTATCAGACATGATGAGGGAGCTGGCGGAAAGGTGAAAAATGGGTCAAACTGGGATTAAGGGGGTCAGACTGAATCGCAAAAAAGAGGGGGTGGAGCAGATGATGTATTTCTCTGTCCTGTCTCATAAACTTTGTGATCAGTGTAACATACTAAAGGTAATACACTGGAAAATACATTTATAGAGCTCCTTGGGATCCCAAAGTCCTTTACTAAGCAATAGACAAACTAGACATACTGTAATGGTTTGCTGGGTGTTTTAGTGACCTAAAAATATTGATGTTACAAAACGTGGGGGCATAACCACTGCGTACCAGAGGAGGCAAGTGAATTTCATGTCTCTGTAACCAGGTCACTTGTCAAGGTTGAGTCTCTCCCTGGCTGTGTCAAATGGGAGTAGCTCCACACCGGTCATGGACAGTGCAGACGCAGCTGAGGGCTGCACTGGACAGTCAGGAAAGTTAATCCAAATGAACTAAAGCTGGGAATTTAAACTGGATTAGTTAAACTGCATTAGATGCTTGTGTGGACACACTTATTCAGAATTAAAGTGACCTTAATTTGGTTTAATTTAAGTCACTTTCCTGAGTCACCCTGTGTAGATAAACCAGCCCTAACGCTGTATGAATTGTAGAATTGTGGGTACATAGGAACTTCTTAATCCAATCTCTCTCTCCAGATTGCATTGATCTTCTAGATGAATCAGGGACCCTGATGAACCTGAGCGAAGTGGAAAGTCCTGCATCTGACCTGGCCAGTAAATACCTACAGGAGAGACAGTGCTACATCCTCATCAGAGTCATTCGTAAGTTACTTGTCAAGTCCCTCTGTGGACTGAGAATGCTACTGTGCTCCCTCCAGGGCAACATCCCCCATTATAGGAAAGGATCCCCACTCCTTCCTTCTCTGGGATTTTGTTTGTTCTAAACAAAGGTACATGAACGAAGTTAGTGGGCTATCCATCCTACTGTATGGAAATGAATGAAAAGCACACGAGAGCAAAGGTACAAGCAAACAAAGGAAATTATCAGCATCCATTGCAAATGGACACTGCAAAAGAATGTATGGATGTAGGTAGGTGGATAGAAACCATGCGGCAATTGTATCCTGACAAACTCCCGACACCAAGTGCCATGCTAGTGTGAAACAATTACTTCTTCTTGAAGTGACTTGGCAGAACTACCCAAGCTAAAGCAGGTCTGATGGCCCAGTAATTTTTTCCAGGCTATGAAATGAAGGAGCATGGTTCTGCTAATTCTGTTGGCAGGAGGAGAAGGCTCGGAATCAATCTACTACGAATCTCTACTGGAAAACCTGGGAAAACACCACCCTGAGCTGGCAGGTGAGAGCTGGGCACCCAGTGCATCAAATCACCATAGGGAGACCAGTGATATAGATGTGTAACATCAAACATTGTCAGTCAAATCCCTGCCCCAGGCACCCTCATGAGCCCCTGTATTTCATACCCCTTTTGCAGAATTTGGCCTGAGGTTTGATTGTGACTTTTCCCAGAACTGACTTGGCCAAAAATTGTTGTTGCTCTGGCTAAAGGAACAAAAGATCCAAGGAACATAGGTGAAAAACTATCAAAAAGCCAAAATGTGTATGTTCAGCTTAAGCCAGAAAGTATTTCCCATCATACTAGGCATGCAGTTTTCCATCTTCAGTGTTCTGCAAACATTGTTTTACTAATCCTCATTACATCCAGGGTTGGTGGGTAAGTTACCAACTCCATTTCCTGCATGGGACAACAGAGGCAGAGGGATGAAGTGTTTTACATTAGGTATAAAGAGGGATGGATGGTCAGAGCAGGGATTAGAAAGCACAGGAGTTCCTGTCTCCTAATCCTGGGCTCAGGCCACTAGACTTCATCACTCTTTCTATTGCCATATAAACAAAGGAAGGAAACAGTTAGCTGGCCGAATCCCTGGTTTAGTAGACAGGAGCCTAGCAAGAAACTAACAGCGGGTTTCTGGGTTTGCTTCCCAGAGCGGCTGCAGAAGTTATCAGCACACCCTCAGCTGAAGGACAACACAAGGAGGAGTTCCATGCAGAGAAAGTTTCGCCCACTTAAGGAACCACTCCTGGGCTCCCCAGCCAAAGTCAGAAGCACACAGCAGAGTAAGAAAGGCTCTGCTCTCTCCAGCAGGCCCACCTAGGTAGAGTATCATCCCTTGCGGGAACAAGGCCTCCAGCAGTTTGGAAGCATCTTCCAGAGACCCTACACAGGGTCAAAGACAGCCAGCCAGGTGTAGTCAAACTGTAGGGCAGGATGCAAAAGGCCACTGCTTTATAAGCAGCACACTGCATCCTCCTCACAGCCAGACTGAGCCATAATCAGAGACCCCCTGGAACCTTTTTAAATGGAAGGCTAGCTAGGCTTATGCCACCCTCTGAAAAAGAGTTTAGACCTGTCAGGGGTAACAGACTAAAGTAGTACAGACTTACTTTTGGTACTAGCGACTGACACACACAGAGCAGGTCTCTTCTGCAAGAAGGTGCCCCATCTATAGTCAGTCACAACCCAACAGAAGTTAGTTAGTTCCCAATGAAGTGTACGATGGGAACACCTAACAACCCCTACTAGAACTAGGGGAACTTTGTGATGAGTCAGTGTTCTCAAGCCTACTTGCTGCAAAACATTTCTCCTGCACTGTAAATTCATCTCCCCTCCTCAGGCTAAGGGCAACTGGTACATTTATTTAAAAAACTATTGACATTAGTGAGAGATAAATGTGTATTATTTTATTCCTGTTCCCACTACACTAGGTATGGGAGAGCAAAGTGGATTGTATTCTGTCTGCTTCATCAAAAGCATTATTTACATTCCAATGAGAGGCTCTTTATGCCTGATCATGCATAATCCAGAAAAGACTCAGCTTGACTTTCAATTGCAGGTTGAGTTTGTAGGGCTGGCTATCAAAGAGACAATATAGTCTTGGAGACTGAGCAAGTCTGATATGGAATCTTTGCAAGGCAGCCAGCCAGGAATCCCCATGTCTCTTTCACAGTAACTGCTCTGTAAGTGGCCTTTCTGAAAGCACAGTTCCAATGTCTCCTGCCTCAAGCAGGAACAGGTTCTCATTGTACAGTTGGGTTTGTTGACTGAAAGGAAAATGGCTCCTGGAGGAATATTTTATGAACCAGACTAGAACGTAATTCATAAAATACTGAATACACAGAATAAAAACAGTGGTTTAAAGGATTGTGAGAAATGCAGTTTTGTTCAGCGAGAAACTAGTTTCTTTCACAGATGCTTTAGCACATGTGCAAACACTGGTCCAATTTTGGATCTCATTTTCACTATATGTTTGGAGTAGCTCTGACTCATTAGTTATTCCAGATTTATATTGGTGTTCCCGAGATCAGAAACTCACCCTTTATTCACAAAGCAGCAAGACTTCAGAGTGTCCTTTGCACTTAAATTTTCCTTGGCAGTCTCTCCCAGGACACTGCACAGGGCAGTCTGACTGCAAGCAATGCATAGTTCAGGAGACACTAACCAGTGCCAAAAGTTAGGGGGGTGGAGGGGGGGGGGGGGGGGGGGGAGAGAAGAAGAGAAAGAAGAGGCTTACATTGCAAGACTGGGGTATATCCACTGTTTTGATAGTTTTAGAGGAGAAATACAGCTTCCCAGTTTTGCTAAACAGCAAAGAGTAACAGAACTGCACCAGCATAGATTGTTTCCAGCCACTGTCTTCCTTACCAATCCATACAAGGAATGAGATTCAGACACTACTGTCCAGTGTTCAGCAGCAGCTAGAAAGCTATGACAACTAAAATAACCAAGAGTTAAGAGATTTTATCCATCTGTAAAGAAAAACCAACATTAGTATGCAAAGCATTCTTTTGCTGGTCACACAGCAGCTTCCAGCTGAAGCCTGCTGACTGTTCGTGTCAGTTTCACTTGTGCCAAGGTAACCCGAGTTGCTCCATAGCCCATCAAACTGAAAATGGGGGCTTTTTGCAGAGCCAGGTCTGTGGAGAGTGTCAAATGCATTTCAATTACTGACTAGTTGTACCTGATTTTGTTAGATGAAGCCTTGCAGCTCCTAGTCCAATGTTAAAGCTGCATGTGGCACCAGCGAACTTAACCTGATGCTAATGACCTTCAGCATATTACTTAACCCACTAAGACCCAAAATAAGATCAGCCAGCTGTGTTCTTAGTCAGGCAATTGACCAGGTCACATTTTTCCTTCCACACCTCTGTCCCCATCATGTCCGTGAGCTGAGAGGATATTGAGATTTACAAGAATCCTAGTCAATGAAGCACTTGCAGGGCAGTGCTCTTAAAAATTCTCTGCTCTGGCCTTCTGAGCAGATAAAAAAGTACAGCAGGGGTTGTATACGTGTCCTGTGAGAGGAAATCCAGGCCTGGCTTTGTTTGGTTTTGCTGAGTCATCCAGCTACATGGATTTTAATTATTTCGCTCCCCTTGTTTGGAGAGGAGACGAAGAAAACACATTCGGAGATTAGAATGACATCCTGCAGTTTAATCTACAGTAAGAAACACAACATACAAACTATTCATAGATTAAAATAAACCATCTCCTTTTATTACATATTTCACTGTAGCAAATCAAACGAGATCTGGATTCTAAAAGCCCAATCAAATTCCAACCATTGTTCTTTCCTAGCGCTAACATGCTTCTGTAATTGCTAAGTGGTTCTTTCCGCTGGTCGGACTATCATTCCCTTCACCTGGTTACTTTGGTCACTAGCTATTCCTTCTAGTCTCTTCCGTTCTTGCTGTACTCCAGGCTCCTGTTTCCCTGTGTTAGCGCTGAATGTCTTCACAAGAGGGAGGAGACACCTACAATAGGAGAGGTTGGAGAAGCTCAAGTTCAACATTAGGCAGAAAGGACCCTCATATGTCAAATGTCTGAGTGAGGCAAATGCCCCATGATTAGCCAGAACGTGCAAACAGGGGTACCAGTTCAACCAAGCACAAAAGGGGGTTTTGTCTACTCATCACTTCATTTATTTAGCATGTTGCTCCAGGAGAAGGGAACCCTTCTCCCCCGGCAAACGGGCAAGAAACAAGGGAACTGGCTGGCAGTGCTCTGGGAAAGGAGTAGGCTCCCCAAAGGAGCATGGCAATAGAGCATCCAACCCCTAAAAAGGGATCTCCAAGCCCACTATTGGGAACACCATTTTCATTCTGCTAAGACATGGACCAAAGGTGTCCCTCTTCCCCTTTCCATGATTCCTGAGCATCTTTATGGAGAGGACTACATTTTTGAAATGGCAGAGATGTGAGACTTTGGAGTCACTTCAAAGACAAGGACAGCGACCTCTTCCACATTTAGAGGGTTTGGTTTCTTTAGGAGGAACTATTAAGCTGCTGTTCGAAAGCCCTACCAGACTAAACCACACTACTCTTTCAAACATTAGCTCGTCAGTCCCAGGCTTGATAGCTGCCCATCTCTGCACCCTGCAGCAAAACCAAGCAAAAAAAACTCACCATTATTATATTTGCACTGCTTCAGTGCCTCGCTGAAACCTTCACACAAGGTCAAGTCACTCTGATTGGTAGCACATTCCAAGAACTGCTTCATCTCATAGTGGCAAGGTCCATACTGTGGCTGCTGGAACGCAGGCTGCCTGGGCTCCTACAGACACCAAGAAGAAAAAAACATCCCAGTTTAGGGAGACAAACTCTGGGACAGAAGTTCTCTCTCCCTCTTGTGTTCATCTCCTCAATATATTTCACTCTATATGCATCCGAAGAAGTGGGTTGTAGCCCACGAAAGCTTATGCTCTAATAAATTTGTTAGTCTCTAAGGTGCCACAAGTACTCCTGTTATTTTTTCTGGGACAGAAGGAGACTAATACAATGATCTATCGTGTCTAGATTTTCCTGTTTACTTGCCAGTCAGGGCAAATGTGTGAATAAACTGAGCTCATGTCCCATCATCTTGAATGGTTTTCAAAATAATTACAGTCCCAAATTCTCAGTGCATAATCAAATAGAAGGGAGGGCCATAACTGAGAAATACAAAAAAAAAAAAAAAAAAAAACACTTTCCTAGACACCAATAGTCTCACATTAGCAAAAGCAGCATTCCAAATGAAAGGATTTTCCCCATTCAGAGAGGTAATGGAAGCTTCCATCATGCTACTCAAGTTGTTCGGATGTATACACTTAGAAGGACTATGTTGTGATAATTCAGCCTACAAATTTGCCCTGATTGTGAGCTCCGCTGTGAGAAGTGAGTGAAACTTCATCACATCACAACAAATGCGGATTGGAAAAGGTGATCAGGCCAGAGAGTGGGACCCAGATGACATCTGGGATATGAGACTTGGCCTCAGCACCACCACTTGGTACTCTTTTCCTTCCCTATCTTCTCTCTTTTCCCTTCTGTCTAATAAGCATCTGGCTTATCTGGCCAGGACTGCATATTTGGCAACAATGCTATAAGCCAGTAACCAGAAAGAGGCAGCTAAAAGTAATACCCCAAGTAGCTCAATGCCAGTACAAGTTTGCCAGGTCTCAGAGTGCTGATAGAACCGTGTGCTGTGCCTGTGTTTTTCCAGCATCGAGGTTGCAAATGAGAGAGTCAAAACTAGAGACAAAAGCTCTATTGTCTCTCTTTGCGGTTCTCTTTCCCTCGTGTTCATCTTGTTTTGTCTCAAAAGAAGCAGGATTAGACTTAAACAACAGCAACAGCTCCAAACCACCTCAACTAACTTATTCTCTTCTCCCCAGAAGAGACAGTTATTTTTGATACGATCTAAGGCCTGGTCTACACTAGGCTTTTATGTCGACTTTAGCGCCGTTATATCGAATTAACCCTGCACCCGTCCACACCAGGAAGCCATTTAGTTCGACATAAAGCTCTCTTTAAATCGATTTCTGTAATCCTCCCCAACGAGAGGATTAGCGCTAAATTCGACATGGCCATATCGAATTAGGCTAGGTGTGGATGGAAATCGACGGTAATAGCTCCGGGAGCTATCCCACAGTGCACCACTCTGTTGACGCTCTGGACAGCAGTCCGAGCTCGGATGCTCTGACCAGCCACACCCCCGGGAAAATTTGAATTCATTTTCATTTTCCTGTCTGGGCAGTTTGAATCTCAGTTCCTCTTTGGACATCGAGGGGAGCTCAGCAGCAGTGGCAACTATGCAGAGCTCTCCAGCAGAGATGGCCGTGCAA